AGTAATCTTTCTGTTGGTTTTAAAGAGAGTTGAATAGACTCCTGTTGGATTTCTACTGGAAGGAAATGGATTTCTTTCCATCAGAGATATCAGTGTCTCAGGTGTTACACATTTAAATGCTAATAAGATTCTTTGTTTTCTCATGCTAACAATTCTATAAAGGTGGATTAGAAACAGATATTTCTTGTTTTTTCAGTATTTCCGCATTTGTCATAGATCTAACACCCTAGAAATATCGGCAGAGTTCAGTAATCTTTCATCAATAATCCATCTGGAAAAAAACCAATAGAATATGATTGAGCCTTCTAAGACTTCAAATCACTTAAAGTATTTTTCTAGTAATTAAAATATCTTATTTTTATTTCTTGTGTTTAATAATTTCTGGTCACTTAAAAGTTGAACTCAGCTTGCATATTAACAAAATAAATTCTAACCTTTATTTTTATTGGTTTGTTTTTCAGCTTGAACTCTGCTTCTTTGAATGTATCTAAGCATCCACAAACAAGTCATATTTTCTTATATCCTCAGTACATAAACATGTGAATGAACACAGTAATGAATGTGAGTGAGCACAGTAATGATTTAAAGCAGAGATTCTTGGTTTAAATTTATCCCTCAGTTACATGGAACATGAAGCTACACTCTCTTACAAGAAACCTGTGGGTCTGATCTAGTGAGGGGAAGAAGGGAAAGTGTTGGGGTGAGTCACTGAGGGGAAGGAGGACAGTGGGTTTAGCGGGTCTTGGAAGCAGAAATATGATTACTGTAGCAAAAAAGGGTGGAGAGAAATGAGCATGTGGGGTAGTTGCTACTTCATAGGTTAATGCCATATCCGTAGTACCTCACCAAGGCCAGGAGGGAATTAAGGAAGTGGAGAGCACTGAAGGGCAGTCATGTGCGTCTCGGTGATAAGAAATGGCCAGATGTCATCCAGATCCACCTGATGAAACAGGTATGCATGACAGAAACTTGAATCAAAAGAAAACCTACTTATGCCCCCTCTGCATCCATTGGAGATGGTTCTGTTTCTGGAGCTCTTCCCCTGTGGCCAAATTGGTCCTGGTGAAAAGTACAGCCCACGTGGCATTAAGAGGACAGTATGTATGGTTTCCTTGAGAAAGTAAGTGGGGTCTGCCTCAAGCTGTGATGGCCTACAAATATCCAGTAACAGAGCCGCATATACTGATACCAACATTCTTTTACAGAGTAGTAAATATGTCAGTTCTGGACAGGATTCGCTCTAATAACCTCTGCTTATCATGGACATTTTTTAGTAATTAAAATCACCTCACCGGTACATGGATCATTATTAAGATACTTAGAAATGACTGCAGTGCAACTAATCTGGTACTGAGTACATAAGCGCCCGTCTACTATGCATTGAAAGTTATGAAGTACTACAAATGTTATAAAAAAAACACACTAACAAACTTTTGCATTAAAATATTATGCCTAGTCTACAATCCATGAAATCTCAGCTTGAACTTATTATCCAGATCATGACAAGATCACATTCTTCCTTCAAGAACAGTGGGTTTTACTCAAGGCTTTTTCCCAGGGGTTTCTTTCCCTGCCTATCCAAGCTTTCTGTGGGCTGAGGAACCATTTCTGCTACTGCTGCCTTTCCATCAGTCGTCTTTGCTGCTTGCTGGTTGCTTTTTGTATCCTTTTCTGTTTCCACAGGGGGGATTTCATTTGGATCAGGTGCCTCTTCTGTAGCAATAATTTCTTCTACATGTGGCTTAATAAAATCTGATTTAGGAGAAGTAGTAAAATTTGTCTTATATTTACTATGCTCAGCAACCAAAGGTATGTAGAGTAATATTTTGCTTTCACATTGGTTATGACCTTACCATGTTCTTTTCCTGTACCCATATAGAGAGATTCAAAATCACAAATA